AAAAAGAATGGCAGGATCTGAGTAGGATGCCTTTTTTTTTTTTTTTTGATCTCATAAAATTAGTTTTTCCTTCTATAAAGATCCAGCATCTTTAGGGAATAAAATGCCAAAGTTAGATTTGGCCCTATACTTTGAGGACATAGGCATGGTCAAAGATGCTATTGATAGGAGGATGGATTCCCTGTTTAAAAGATCTGGAAATCAGCTATGTTGAGTCTCAAGCCAGTGCTGGCAGATTACTTGTGTAGCCAAATGGGTGAGGGAACTGAGCAGTGACATAATTTGCTATGTGGAGTGTCCCATGCGCTGTTTCTTCTGCCATTTAATCTTGGGAAGTCACCTTTACGTAGCTGCTTCTGCTTCTAAATCACTTTGTAGTCTCTGGTTTCGTTTCACTACCCGCCTACAGTGGCCTGGTCACCTCTGGCGACCTGTGACCCCCATTAGTATCGGCTGCATGGGTTTGTGAGTATGGGAGGGTTTGCCTCATTTAAGGCCTAGTTTTCTGCTTCGTGGTGCAGAGCATGTCTTTTCAGAAACACACAGAGGACAGTCAGGCTGCTGTGAGTCATGTCAACTCATTTTCCACCATTGCTTTTAGGAGTATTTTTTTCAGCAATTTAGATCCTGGGTCTCCTGTTATTATAGGGTCCTCCTCATCGGAGTCTTCTATAACTCTGCTGCATGAGACTGGGACCTCCCCTATATCTACAAGACCTGTAATGTTCACTTTGGTGTTTTTGTTGGTTTATGCACATTTAACAGCATAATCTGCTTACCCAGGCTCTACACGTGCTCAGACACCATCCAAATCCATTTCTAACCCTACTGGTGCTCCATCTCCAAGTGTGCCTGAGGCTGCTATTACAATCTCTGAATCAGATGAGTCCTCACAGTACTCCTGAAGAGAGACAGTGTTTCACCAATTTCAGTATTCTTCAGATTTACGAGGAGTTTTTTTTCTTATATTATTGAAGCAGATTGTTCTACATTGCAGTTGGAGGATCAATTTTCTGTTCCGGGCGAAGGGTCTGTTAGAGCTGTTATGGCTGCAAAGACCTTCCCAATACACGTATTTAAACCATGCCTTAAGAGGACTGGAAACTACCTATATGGTCATGGGTCTCCTGACAATGCAAAGCAACCGTTTTCCCTTTTTGAAAGGAAATGTATTGTATTAAGTGGTCTCCACCCACCATCAGCACCTCAGTGATTCACCTTAACAAGTACACAGCCACACAGGTTGATATCGTTCCTACCTTTAGTCCTCATGCACACGGGACGTTTTGCTAACGCTGGTAACGTTAGCTGTGTAAAGTCACATTAAAAATGTGAGTTTTTTCTGTTTTTTTTTAGCGTTTTTTCATTAGCATTTTCTGCGTTTGGCGGCATTTCCCACATTTTTTCCGCTTTTGCGTTTTGTAGAGGCTTTTTAAAAAAAATTAATTTTTTGGTCAAGAAAAGTCCAAAAAACGCCGGTCAAGTTTGCATGAGGACTTAAGCTGACTATAGATGGTCTGAATCTTGGCCAGTTCAGCAGGGACCAGTCAAGATTCGAACCATGTATGGGAAGGCTGAATGTACCCAAGTTGATCGATCAACTTGGGTACTACCAGCCTGCTAGATTTTACATGCGATTATTGCTAGCAGCTAATATGGCTGCTAACTGTATTCACTGTGTTCTCTCCTGGCGGGGATGGCTCCCTCACTGGGTGAACACAATGGCTCCGCGAGAAATATTCCCTCATCTACACGGACTCTGTTAACTGGGGCGAATCAAACTTTTTCCTCTCCTGCAACCTGTGATTACAGGAAAGAAAATTGCTCCATCTCTGGCTGGCTTTAGGGATTTCATGAACATTCAGTTGGACTTTCTACTTAGGTCTCAGATTATCTCAGGTTGCATTATCTCAGGTGGCTCTGTGATGGTGACTCAGATTTGTGAATCTGTCATTGTGGTTCAAATCCCTTAAAGAAGACACCTCTATCTCAAGGTCAAAGACTTGTGTCCTGGAGCTTTTGGAACAAATGTCTGGAGCCCCTAGATTCAGCTGTAATGGTCTTTTAAAAGGAACTAAGCTTGTATCTACCTTGTCTATTCAAATGCGAAGGGCACTTTGCCTTTGTGCCTGGAAAGGGGTCTCTTCATACCTGCCCTTGACAGTGTCATTCCAGATACCACTGGTTTTTAGAGTGTGCACCTGCCCCAATACAGAAGATCTGTGGATGGGTTGGAGGAACCCAGTCCTTCTACTACAGTAGTACTGCTTAGGTGATTAGACTCTTCCTCCCACTCAAGCCACAGTAGCTTCCACTCTAGACCCTTGAGTCGGGCAGAATCTTTAACTGCCCCTCTGGGGTTACTACACCCTATTGTGCATCCACCCAGGTTTTTTTTTTGGGGGGGGAGGTTCCTGCACCCTGACATCTCTTGATCTTGCAGTCCATTTTGTAAGGGGGTCAGTTTGCATTACAGATAGCTACACCCCTTGGAGTGCTTGATTCTTCCCAGCCCTTTCCTGAGAGACCTCTTCATCTGCAAGATAAACATGGATGAGTTCCTGCTGTTCCTTTACCTTTGTGAGGACCAGATTCTTCAGTGTCCTCCTGTAATAATGGACCATACCCATGGCACTGACCCTTATGTCTGCCCTAGTGCCTCTTACTGGTATCTTTAGTGTGGAATACTCTTTTCTGAGGAGAATCAATGTTCTAGATTTTTGCAGTTTGTACCAAGTTGAGGGTCCTATCCTAAGTACTCCCTGTGGTCTTTTGACGCTTCCCTTGAGTTTACCAGATTTTTTCCCATTCACCGCTTGGCGGGTTTGTGGTATTGTTGGGGGATATCATTTAGTGTGGTCCCCCTTCATGTGCTGTCCCTCAGTCCTTTTTAGTCTCTCTATAGATGTGACATTTGACCAAGCTGGTCCTTTTGGACAAAGCAGTCTAACAAACTTTCCCCTTGCCTAACTGCTTGAGTCTGGTTCTACGGAATAAACACTTATGTTGGCAGATCCCTCTGTTGGTCAGTCTTTTAGTTTGACCTCTGCTGGACATCTCTAGAGGTTGCACACCGCTGTTCTCTTTGTGCCTTTCAGAGACCTGCTTTGATCATATACTAAAAAAAAATACTTAGGTCTCTGCATGTAGTGTGAAGTCCAGAAGCCTTCATTTGCCTTGATTACTGGAATAAGTGAGTTTTTCTTTAACCAAGCCTCTGTATTCAGAGAATTCATGAGAAAGTCGCCTTGGATTTCTTTCTCTATCTGGCTGCTCAGGGGATCTAATTTTCCCCTAAATCTTCTTTTTTTTTTTTTTTTTTCCTGTGAACTCTATGTAATTTATAATCCGCAACCATGCAATGCAAGTGTTTCAGTAAAGTGGTAGGAGTAGAGTTAAGTGTTGAGGATTAATTCTGATGGTTAGATTTTAGAGTTTAGTTTTGACAGGGTTATAGAGACCATTGATTTCAACAAAAATACTTCCATAAGAGTGTGTGCATTTAGCATATATTTATTGCTTGTCATTTACCTGTAAAGCCTCCTTTTCATAGACCTTGAAAAGCCCTGAGACTGCAGCTGGGCACTGCCATCCAGGATGTGGTGTCAGCAGCCACTGCAGACTCAAGGCTTTCACCCTAGTGATACCCTATAGTATTCCCCATTGCTTCTCCCCCAGCAGCTGCATAAAGGATTATGTAGGGAGGTGAAGGGAGTGGAATAGATGCTGGCTCAACACAGAAAGGGGTCAAGTAACTAAAGGATTTTGCATGTGATATGAAGGTCACGTGACCCTTTTTTTCAGAAATATCACATGAGATAATAAGAGTAAATTCAAAGTAAAATATCAGATGTGAAGTAAATACCGCAAGGAAAAAAAAAGAGAGATACATCATTAAAGTCAACTCATTAAAGAACATACACTTGTTTTTTGTCGTCCGGCAGTAGGCGCCAGTCCATGTACAAAGCACTCAGGGGAACTCCGTGATACAGTGTGGATTATTTACTAAGCCTAGGGTCACATTTCTGTGCAAACCACATGTGATTTGTATGTGGTGCGATTAGAGACATACATTTTGTATGGCTCTATTCGCACCGCACCCGCACCAATAGCGCGCAGGACCCTTTTTTGGTCCGCACTAGAATCTGACCCTATAGGTATTCACACCCATGTGATCCGATTCTGCACATCGCACCGCATTTTGTGGACCAATGTCGGGATGTTGTTAACATACACACCCGCAGCGGTTCGTATGAACGGGGTGCGATTGTGATGCGGTGCGGAATTTGCACTGAAAATGCTGAAAATTCCACACCTTATCAGTGTGAACCAGGGCTAAAGCTGGTTCACTCAGAATCTGGTGCACCTGTGTATGGTATCCAGTCAGCTTCTAACCTCAGCTTGTTCAATTAAGCTTTAGCAATAAAACCTGGAAGCTGATTGATTTCTTTGCAGAAGTGCACCAGATTCTGAGTGAACCAGCTTTAGTAACTAAACCCCAATGTATCAGTGTGGAAATGCTTTGCTCCGAGCTCAGGAATGAAAATAAATTGTAATATTTCACCGTAGGGCGGAATGAATGAGAGTACTCTGCAATGTTTTCACAGTTTCATAATATTTTTGTGTGTGCTTTTTTTTATTCCTCTGTTGCAGTGTTAGCATGTTATAAAAAATTCACACAATAATGTTAAATTTAAGTGATAAATATTGCAGGGTCTATGTATGAGGGTCAGGAAAAGGATTAGCTTCAGCTTTTCAGCTTGTACATTTTTGGGAACCATCTTTTCACTTCGCTTTCACACCTGATCACCATAATATTGAAAAACATATTTTTTTTCTCTAAATATGGAGGAAGTAAAATAGTGAAAATGCCACATACATTTATTCACAAAGCATGTAGATATATTTTTTATTATGAGATAGAATCTGCTTGCCATTTACAGCAGTTTCACTGATAAAGGACTGACTCTTCATATATGTGAATTTGCTTCCTTTTGTAGGGTCTTTATGCCATTGTGGAGTTTGAGAATTCAGATGGAGTCAGTGCCACCCTTGAAGAACATGATATTAAACTAGAGGGGCAGCAACTAAAGGTAAAACCTCGAGAGAAAAAAGAATTCAAGAAAAGGAGAGCAGGAACACGAAACTTGCAGCCTCCTGACCCGGAGGCGCTGAGCAAGGAACTTATCCACTGCAAGGATGTGAGTGTAAACCCCAGCGCTGCACCCCCTTTTCCCCTCCCTTTAACCACTTGCCCTCAAAAGGGTTTACCCCCCTTCCTGACCAGGCCATTTTTTGTGATACGGCGCTGCGTTACTTTAACAATTGCGCGGTCACACGCAACACTGCACCCATATGAAATTTACAGCGGTTTTCTCCCACAAATAGAGCTTTCTTTCGGTGGTATTTGATTGCTTCTGCATTTTTTTATTTTTTGCGCTATAAACAAAAAAGACCAGACAATTGAAAAAAAAAATTTATATTTTTGACTTTTTGCTATTAAACATGTCCAGTAAAAAAAAAATTAAAAAAATTTTTATTTCGTCATAAATTTAGGCCAAAATGTATTCTGCTACATGTCTTTGCTAAAAAAAAAAATCCCAATACGTGTAAATGAATTGGTTTACGTGAAAGTTATAGCATTTACAAATGGCGGTATATATACTGGAATTTTTTTTTTTTTTTTTACTAGTAATGGCGGCGATCAGCGACTTATAGCAGGACTGCGGCAGGCATTCTGACACTGGGTGGGAACTAACTGTCACTGACATCACCAATACAGTGATCAGTGCTAATAAAAAAGCACTGACACTGGGCAGGAAGGGGTTAACATCTGTGGCGATTAAAGGGTTAACTGTGCTTTACACTGCAAGCATACTGCTTTGTATGGCTATGCTATGCAGAGCCATACAAAGCAGTGTGCAGGAGCTGACGGGAGAGATCTGCATTGTTTACATACAGTTCTCTCCCCCTCAGTGATACTCGGCAATCGCCTGGTGCCTGCAGGGAATCGCCAGTGCTGCTAATCGCCTGCTATAGGGCGGCGTGGAAGCGGTTTAAAGTATTTTACCTGTGATATACTTATTACTCATTTTTCATTTTCTCGGATATGTTTAGTTACCTGTCCTTTCCCATCACTGTGAGTGATCTGTTCATACTTGGAACTCCAATGTGTAGAGAGCAAAATGACAGCTGGAATTATAATAACCTAAATGTAATTACCAGTGACATACAGGGCAGCTTACACTAGAAGCAGTGCATGCTGGGAGAAGTTACAGTGGTGAATCTGTAGCCTGCCTGTATAATACAGGAGGAAACTGTAGGTGAGTGATCTAGGAATAAATACATTTTTAAGTGAAATGTACAGTAGCCCTGTCCCCTGAAGTGCTGCGTCTCTTCATCTCTCCTTCGTGCATACAGAGTGTGGACTTGCTGCCTGCTATTCAGGGCATGGAGAAAGTGGACTCTGTCCACTTTTGTTGTGAATGATTTCAGCTGAAGAGCATTTTAATCACAAAAACACAAGCTCACATCAGCACAGGCCAGGCACTACACTAGGCTGTCTCAGACACATGTAGTAGCTGGTGTGTTCTCTTGTCAGCTTGTGTGTTTTTTCAAATGAAATTGCTCTTTTCCAGCTGGAATCATTCACAACAACAGACTTCCACTCCAGTCTTCCACTCTCTCCCTGCCCTGAATACTGGGTGGCAGGTCTGGATCCAGTGTATAAACTAAATGGGAGCGATGAGGAGACAGCACAGCAGGGGGATGTTCTATCTGACAGCTCAGAGTTGGGGTGGGGGGGATGTACGGGCTCTGTGTGCATAACCTGTCACACCCCCCTTCTGCTGTGCTTGTCAGTCAGAAATTTGTCTCTTGTGCTCAGCGTTGTTGGGATAACTATCTGAGCAGGTGGAACGAACTATCCAACAGTCCTCAGTCCAGCAACACCTGCAACGATAGACACAGGGACTAGTGCGCACAGGGGCCTCTGGGGGATTTACCAGCTTTCTGATGATAGTTCTTTAAAGCTAGCTGATTAGAATGAGGTGTGACACTTACCGCATGCTGCAGGACATGGCAGGGGTAGGCACGTGAACCTAGACTTCTGGAGACATAAGGGAACTAATGGGACCTGCAAACCACAGTGCAGCCGATTGTCAATCAAACTAGATGCTAACCTGAAGGTCAGTAGTAGCTTTCATAGATACAATGTATCAATTGTGATGCTGTAAAAGTAGTTCTAGTCATAAATAAAAGGAAACCTTTCATCAAAATTAAGCAAACCTAAGATGTGGCAGAAGATAAATCTGTCTGTAAAATGTTGGTCTCTTGAAGGTGGAAGAACAAAATGAAGAGCGTAGTCACACTGTGTTCTCCATCTCGTCATGAAAGCCATCTGCGGGAGCTGCTTCTGTCTCTGCTGAAAGAAACTTTCACCGAGTTCTTTCCAGGTGACTAAATACCACCATCCAAATGTCTGTTACTGTGTGCACTTCTTCTTGAATCGACATTTTTTTCTGTGACAGGCTGCCAGCTTCATCCTTTTGGTTCTTCAGTAAATGGCTTTGAGATCAGTGGCTGTGACCTAGATTTATATCTGGAGCTTGGGGAAGAATTGAATGGGGAGAAAGATGATGTTGAAGGTGCAGAGTCAAAAGAAGAAGATGTGAAGAATGATGGAGATGGAGAAAAGGTGGACTCTTTGGAAGTAGAAGAAGTGCAGGAAGATGAAATCATGGAAACTGAAGAGAAGTGTAGTGATGACGACGAGGTAAGGTCATGATCTGTTTAAGGAGTCGGTTCACACTAGAGAAAAGCAGCCCGGATGTTACATAGTTAGTCTGGCTAAAAAAAGACAAAAGTCCCTCCAGTTCAACCATTGAAAAAAAAAAAAGTTATAATCCTATACCCAGATTTGATCCAGAGGAAGGCAAAAAAAAAAACCCCAGCAAAGCATGATCCCATTTGCTCCTGCTGGGAAAAAAATTCCTTCCTGATCCCCCGAAAGACAATCGGATATTCCCTGGATCAACTTTACCTAGAAATGTTAGTATCCAGTTATATTCTGTGTTTCTAAGAAAGAATCCAGGCCCTTTTTGAAGCAATCCACTGAGTTGGCCAGAACCAACTCTTGAGGGAGTCTATTCCACATTTTCACAGCTCTTACTGTGAAGAAACCTTTCCGTGTTTTGGAGATTAAATTTCTTTTCCTCCAGACGTAAAGAGTGCTCCCTTGTCCTCTGTGATGACCTCAGGGTGAATAGCTCTACACCGAGTTCACTATATGAACCACTGATGTATTTATACATGTTGATCATATCCTCCCTTAATCTCCTCTTCTCAAGAGAGAATAAATAAATTCAGTTCCTCTAATCTTTCCTCATAGCTGATCTCCTCCATGCCTCTTATCAGTTTGGTTGCCCTTCTCTGTACTTTTTCCAGTTCCCTAATGTTCTTTTTGTGAATTGGTGTCCAAAACTGAACTGCATATTCCAGATTAGGTCTTACTAATGATTTGTACCGGGGGAAATGATATCTCTCTCTTATAATACAAGAGAGGATGTTCCTCGCTTTAGAAATCGCAGCTTGGCATTGCATGCCATTATTAAGCTTGTGATCTACCAGAACTCCCAGATCCTTCTCCACCATTGATTCCCCCAGTTGTACCCCTCCTAGTATGTATGATGCATGCATATTCTTAGCCCCAAAGTGCAGAACCTTACATTTATCAACATTAAACCTCATTTGCCACATAGTTGCCCAATTAAACAGTGCATTGAGGTCAGCTTGAAAGTTGGAGATATCCTGTAAGGAGTTTATTCCACTGCACAGCTTGGTGTCATCTGCAAAGACTGAAATTGGATTTTTAATCCCAGACCCTATATTGTTTATAAATGTATTAATAAGTAAGGGTCCCAACGCTGAACCTTGGGGTACACCACTAACGACCCTAGACCATTCAGAGTATGAATCATTAACCACTACTCTCTGAATACGATCTTTTAGCCAGTTTTCTATCCATTTACATACAGTTTTATCCAAGCCTGTAGACTTTACCTTACACATGAGTGGGGAACTGGGTCAAATGATTTTCCAAATGTGTTTCCACATACGCGTTTTTGCGCATTCCGTGTGTTTTTTTTTATGCTTTCCAGTTCATTTTTTCCCCCTCTGGTTTTCTTCATTTTTGATGCGTTTTACCATGTTCCAGTACAGATCTGTGAGGGAAAAATGCAGCATGTTCTACTTTTTCTTTTTTTCTGCATCTGGAACGCACTGGAACTGCAAGCACTGATGTGAACTATGTTCCGGAATGTTCTATGAAGACGTTTCAGAAGAAATTCTATGAAAAAAGTTCTGGAATGTTCTATGGATTATATTCCAGAATGTTATGTGAAGAAGTTACAGAAGAATTTTCTATGAAAACTGTTCCGGAATGTAGTATGGATAATGTTCCGCAACTTCTTCATAAAACATTCTTCCGAAACATTTTTTAAAGAACATGCCAGCACATTTTTCATAGAACATGCCAGCACATTTTTCATAGAACATGCCAGCACATTTTTCATAGAACATGCCAGCACATTTTTCATAGAACATGCTGTAACGGAACCGGTACCCGACCGCACTTGGGTATATTCCGTTATACCGCAGCTTCCCCTGTCCGAACACAATCCACGGACGACACCCTTGAAATCCCTCAGGAAATAGACAGCACCCAGCTCTTCTTAAACAGGAAGCCAACTTCATTTATTTTAACACAAAACACAGGATATATACAGAGGGCGGGGAAACACAACCAGGAACAGGAAATACATCATCAGCCTGCCCCATCAGTGGGAGGCTGCAGGAAACACCTCATCACCCCTCCCCATCCAACCAAGACACAGAACAATGGGATGAAGCACATGACATAGAACATTAGGCAACCATATGGCAGGGACACATGCATCCCATAATAGTTGGCTGGACAGGAAGACACAGCACAATGGGGGGTAGCACATGGCAAACAATGGACAGCCACATGGTTGAGAACAAAGACAAAGGACAACACTCAAATGCACAATACTGGGGCATTCACATTTACACACCCTGTACCCTAACAGGCACAGGGTCACTTAAACATAAGAATTTGGGGAGAAGATACAGATGTCCCCCCACACCCAAAAGTGACTCCCGTCACACATGCCAGCACATTTTTTCACAGAACATGCCAGCACATTTTTTCACAGAACATGCCAGCACATTTTTTCACAGAACATGCCAGCACATTTTTTCACAGAACATGCCAGCACATTTTTTCACAGAACATGCCAGCACATTTTTTCACAGAACATGCCAGCACATTTTTTCACAGAACATGCCCGGCACATTTTTCACAGCACATTTTTTCACAGAACATGCCAGCACATTTTTTCACAGAACATGCCAGCACATTTTTTTCACAGAACATGCCAGCACATTTTTTCACAGAACATGCCAGCACATTTTTTCACAGAACATGCCAGCACATTTTTTCACAGAACATGCCAGCACATTTTTTCACAGAACATGCCAGCACATTTTTTCACAGAACATGCCAGCACACATTTTTTCACAGAACATGCCAGCACATTTTTTCACAGAACATGCCAGCACATTTTTTCACAGAACATGCCAGCACATTTTTTCACAGAACATGCCAGCACATTTTTTCACAGAACATGCCAGCACATTTTTTCACAGAACATGCCAGCACATTTTTTCACAGAACATGCCAGCACATTTTTTCACAGAACATGCCAGCACATTTTTTCACAGAACATGCCAGCACATTTTTTCACAGAACATGCCAGCACATTTTTTCACAGAACATGCCAGCACATTTTTTCACAGAACATGCCAGCACATTTTTTCACAGAACATGCCAGCACATTTTTTCACAGAACATGCCAGCACATTTTTTCACAGAACATTGCTAGAACATTTTTTCATAGAACATGCCGGCACATTTTTTCACAGAACATTCCGGAACATTTTTTCACAGAACATTTTTTCATAGAAATGTTTTGAAAGTTTTCTTTACAGAACATTCCGGAACAATTTTTTCAAGAACAGTACAGAATATTTTTCATAGAATATTCCAAAAGTTCTTCATAGAACATTACGGAACATTTTTCATAGAAAATTCTAGAATTTCTTTATAGAACATTCTTCCAGAACTTTCTTCATGGAACATTGCCGGCACATTTTTTCTGGAACATTTTTTAAAGAACATTCCAGAACATTATTCTTCACAGAAACATTTTTTCTGGAACTTCTTCATTTTTTCAGAACATGCCAGAACATTTTCATAAACATTCCAGAAGTTCTTCATAGAACAATCTTCCAGAAGTTCTTCATAGAACAATCTCCAGAAGTTCTTCATAGAATTCCAGAAGTTCTTCCAGAAGTTCGGAACATTTTTCATAGAACAATCTTCCAGAAGTTCTTCATAGAACAATCTTCCAGAAGTTCTTCATAGAACATCTTCTTAGAAATTTTTTTCATAGAACAATCTTCCAGAAGTTCTTCATAGAACAATCTTCCAGAAGTTCTTCATAGAACAATCTTCCAGAAGTTCTTCATAGAACAATCTTCCAGAAGTTCTTCATAGAACAATCTTCCAGAAGTTCTTCATAGAACAATCTTCCAGAAGTTCTTCATAGAACAATCTTCCAGAAGTTCTTCATAGAACAATCTTCCAGAAGTTCTTCATAGAACAATCTTCCAGAAGTTTCTTCATAGAACAATCTTCCAGAAGTTCTTCATAGAACAATCTTCCAGAAGTTCTTCATAGAACAATCTTCCAGAAGTTCTTCATAGAACAATCTTCCAGAAGTTCTTCATAGAACAATCTTCCAGAAGTTCTTCATAGAACAATCTTCCAGAAGTTCTTCATAGAACAATCTTCCAGAAGTTCTTCATAGAACATTGCAGAAGTTCTTTTTCATACAACATTGCAGAACATTTTTCATACAACATTGCAGAACATTTTTCATACAACATTCCAATGGAGCGGAATTTTGTTGAAACCGCCGGAGCGGAATTTTGTTGAAACCGCCGGAGCGGAATTTTGTTGAAACCGCCGGAGCGGAATTTTATAGAGCATTCCAGAACATTTTCCATAGGGCATTCCAGGACATTTTCCATAGGGCATTCCAGGACATTTTCCATAGGGCATTCCAGGACATTTTCCATAGGGCATTCCAGGACATTTTCCATAGTGCATTCCAGGACATTTTCCATAGGGCATTCCAGGACATTTTCCATAGGGCATTCCAGGACATTTTCCATTGAACGTTCCGGAGCGTCTTCATTGGACGTCCCGGAGCGTCTTCATTGGACGTCCCGGAGCGTCTTCATTGGACGTCCCGGAGCGTCTTCATTGGACGTCCCGGAGCGTCTTCAATGGACGTCCCGGAGCGTCTTCAATGGACGTCCCGGAGCGTCTTCAATGGACGTCCCGGAGCGTCTTCAATGGACGTCCCGGAGCGTCTTCAATGGACGTCCCGGAGCGTCTTCAATGGACGTCCCGGAGCGTCTTCAATGGACGTCCCGGAGCGTCTTCAATGGACGTCCCGGAGCGTCTTCAATGGACGTCCCGGAGCGTCTTCAATGGACGTCCCGGAGCGTCTTCAATGGACGTCCCGGAGCGTCTTCAATGGACGTCCCGGAGCGTCTTCAATGGACGTCCCGGAGCGTCTTCAATGGACGTCCCGGAGCGTCTTCAATGGACGTCCCGGAGCGTCTTCAATGGACGTCCCGGAGCGTCTTCAATGGACGTCCCGGAGCGTCTTCAATGGACGTCCCGGAACATTTTTCATACAACATTCTGATGGAACATTTTTCATACAACATTCTGATGGAACAGTTTTCATACAACATTCTGATGGAACAGTTTTCATACAACATTCTGATGGAACAGTTTTCATACAACATTCTGATGGAACAGTTTTCATAGGCCAAAGAGATATAAGTAAATAGAAAATAGGTGAGCGCTAGGTAATAATGGGAAGCAGCTAGCACAGAGGACAGGTAACAATCCCCTCCGGAGAGAGTCAGTGATTGCAAGGGAGCAGTCAGAGGTGCATGGGGGGGGATATTGGAAAGCTGCAGGAAAGCCAAACTGACAGAGTTACTGCTGTTACAGTGCCTGAAGAGAAACAGCTTTTTTTCCTGGACTTTATTTCAAGACCATAATCTTTATGGAGTACTCCTCAGCTCTTTGGGCATCTTTGTTCTCACTTTTTCTCATCCTTCTGTGCAAGACCATAAAAAGGGAACACTCTACGGTTACATGGAACAGCACTCACACCAGCGGTTTTCCTCAGGACAAAGGCTCCCTTGATGACGGTCCATTCTAAAGCTCTAGGTGACGGTCCATTCTAAAGCTCTAGGTGACGGTCCATTCTAAAGCCCTAGGTGACGGTCCATTCTAAAGCCCTAGGTGACGGTCCATTCTAAAGCCCTAGGTGACGGTCCATTCTAAAGCCCTAGGTGACGGTCCATTCTAAAGCCCTAGGTGACGGTCCATTCTAACCTCTTGGCTGCCCCCTACCTCAAGATGTTCAAGATGTATTGCTTGAAATGCCTGTTACCAGTCACATTCTGGTGAGTGTACATCTATTAGAGGTGGCGGATTCCCTTATGTGATTGTTATCACCTTCACATCCAGCACTTTAGTTCGCTGCACTTTATTATTTCAACGGACACTTATGTGGATTATACCATATCACGGACAATATTAATTTTGATTATCCATAATATTTGGCTATCTACCTGTTATATTAAAAAATATAATATTTTGCTATTTACCCAACATATATATTTTATATTTATTTATATTGCATACGATATCACGGGCATTATATATGCATGTTTTGAGACACTTTATAATATATTTGTTTGATTGGTTTTTGCATTTTTTTTTATGATGCACTTTGCTGTTCCATATTACCTATTCAGTTTTTAACACATTAATTAGTTGTGTTATATCATATGATTTAGCAAATTTTTTTCTGCACTTTAAACGATGCACTTTACTGTTCCGCTTTAACATATATTGATACATTTTTCAGGTGATGCACTTTGTTTTATTTTAGTACCATAGCGCTGCACTTGTTTACATATTCAATTTTGGGGATTACCTGTCTTCTGTGCTAGCTGCTTCTTATTATTACCTAGCGCTCACCTATTTTCTATTCTTTACTTATATCTCTTTGGCCTATGAAAACTGTTCCATCAGAATGTTGTATGAAAAATGTTGCATTGGAATGTTGTATGAAAAATGTTCTGCAATGTTCTATGAAGTTCTGGAAGAATGTTCTATGAAAAATGTTCCGGAATGTTAAATGGAGAATGTTCTGTGAAGAAATTCCAGAATGTTCTATGAAAAATGTTCTGGAATGTTATATGGAAAATGTTCTGTAGGAATGTTCTTTGAAGAAATTCTGTAATGTGTGCAAAATGTTCCGGAATGTTTTATGAAAAATGTTCCAGAATGTTCTGTAAAGAAATTTCAGGATGTTCTGTGAAAAATTTGCCGGAATGTTCTATGAAAATGTTCCGGAATGTTCTATGAAAATGTTCCGGAATGTTCTATGAAAAAATGTTCTGGAATGTTTTATGAAAAAATGTTCTGGAATGTTCTATAAAGAACTTCCGGAATGTTCTAGAAAAAGTTCTGAAATGGAAAATGAAATTGACATCTTAAAAAAAAAAAATGGAGCATCTACAGTTGTGGAAGTTGAGGTGGATTTCGAGGATCGGTAGATCTTTCATGCCTTGTTTTTGGTGACTGTTGTGTTCTAAGTCTTGTTTATGCATTTTGATTATCGCAATACAAACTCATGGATACAGGATTAATAAAGCTGGATCATTTAACCATTTCTCTCCCTTACAGAATATTACTCCTGGCCTGTCCTTGAAGGGTCTCTCCAATGAGGAAATCCTTAATTTAGTTGACAGAGTTCTACGTCAGTGTGTTCCTGGAGTACACGGAGTTCAAACTGTTCCTTCTGCACGGCGCCCAGTAATACGATTCCAACACAAGACTTCAGGGCTCAGGGGAGACATCACTCTCAATAACAGGTACCCTTGTCATTTCAGTATATTGTGTCAAAATTTGTTCCGTGTTTTGTTTAACTTCCAATATATTTTGCTATTTTATTTCCCTTTTTTTTTTTTTTTTTTTTAACCCTAGGCTTGCCCTGCGTAACTCCTTCTACTTGCGTCTCTGTTCTGACTTAGACCCTCGGGTCCCACAGCTTGTGTACACTGTGAGATACTGGGCTAGAGTGAACCAGCTAGCAGGTAAGAATACAGATTAGGGTTAGGGGGAAGACCTAACCACTTGCCTACCGGGCACTTATACCCCCCTCAGATCCCTGCTCTGACAACTGCAGGTTCTCGGCAGTACTTTCTTCACGTTCTGACAGCATGAGGAAAGTGGTAAAAGGCCGCTGTGATTGGCCTTTTACCACATCGCGTGATCAGCTGTGTCCGTAGGATGCGCTCATTAAAGTACACACAGGCAGTCGATCTTCTTTTCCAGCACTCTTTCACCCAGGAAGAGAAGAGAACACCACACAGTGGGATAAAGCAGTGCACTTTGCACCCACACACGTTAAGCCCTTTTTACCTCTTGATCACCCTTAGAACATTGATCACCACTGTCATCCAGCCAGTGCCATTATTCACTGTACTACTATCCCTTGCGACATCAGATAGCGCCAGTTTGAGTTAGTGTCCCTCCCAGCCAGGGTCAGTTAACTTTAGATTGCTCACACACTATCACACTATAGCTTGCTGATCACTGCCATTACTAGTATTTTATATGTACGGATCAATACATTGTCACTAACAGAATTATACTAGTATTCCCTTTAGTATAGTGTCCCCAAAAATGCAGTGTTAGCAGGATCAGCCCCAATGCCTGCCAGCACTTGCATTTAGCCCATTCAACAAGATCGCTGTCACCTGTGATACATTGTACACAAAACCACAGCATTAGCAAAATTAGGCCTGATCTCTGCTAGCACTAACAGGTGAATTTTATTTGTAGCGGTTCAAGCAGTAGCTGACAGCTAGGAACTCTTTTTCCTGTCCCCCCAAGGTACACCAGTGAAGAGACCTACAGGATTCTGAGTATGATGGATGAGTGCAAAGGGAAAGCCTCACTGTCAATATCCGCCTCAGAATTTGTATTCTTCACAAAGCAGTACAACCCTAACAGGGAGGTCGGGCGATGGAGAAGTGGTCCCTGCTAAGGCCAGGCATACCCAACCCCAAGTGGCTAAAGTGCTATGAAGGCATGACTTGTCTCATATGCAGCAGGGTTCAAGTACTAGTGCTGCACTACCTTTTGGTGATCCGGCAAGCACCAGCAGCCTAGTACATCCTGGCATTTTACACACCAACACTGCAGTATCACATGGTGCCGTAGTGAGTCCCAGAAGTGCAGTCCAAGCTGTTGTCCTTCCGGATGTGCTTGCAAATCCTGATTGGCAGCCAACAGATTCCTCAGAACCAGTTATTCCCCCCATTCATTGCCCAACCTGGAATTCAGGTGAAAAGAGCAAATTTAACAACTCTCATTTTTGTTAGCTGTTTTTCATGGAAGACCTGAATCAGTTGATTGTGGACCAAACCAATCTATAAGCTGACTAGTGCTTTGCTGCCAACCCAAATACAACTCTTGCCAGACAATACACATGGAAACATGTCACGGTTTCCAAATGTAAAACTTTTTTGGGCCTAACCCTCAATATGGGCATTACAAAAAAGATTGAATTGCAGTATTTTAGTGACCTTGAATATGATCGCTTCTACAAAATTCGGCCCCTCATAAAACTTCACTGAGAAGTTTGCAGATATGTATACGCCCCAACAAAATATCTGTTTAGACGAGTTCCTCATACATTTTACTGGCCGCCTTGCATTCAAGCAGTATCTCCCCAGCAAGTGCGCCAGATCTGGGGTCAAAATGTATAAGTACTGTGAGAGGGCAACGGACTATCCATGTAATTTTCGGTTTTACGAGGGAAAAAAAAAAACAAACAATAATGCATTTATTTTCATTTTTCAAAACTTTGTGTCAAAAAATTAGATCTGAAAACTACTAACCATGCCGCTTATCAAATACATTGGAGTGTCTACTTTCAAAAAAGGATTAATTTGGGGGGGGGGGTGTTTGTACTATCCTGGTATATCCGAGCCTCCAAACTGTGATAGGTAGTCAGGCAATGAAGTGAGGGAATTACACCCTTTAAAAGCCTGTAGGTGGTCATTGGTTTGGGGCCTCGAAAAAGTCTAACACGTGGTTACCCCAAACTCGTGAGAAGTAGCAAAATGTGTTTTGGGGTGTAATTCCACATATACCCATGGCATGTATGAGAAATATCCCATCAAGGTGACAAAAAAAGTCATTTTCCAAAAACATGGGGCAAAAAATAAAATCTTCCATGCATTCAACATGCCTCTCAGCAAATACCTAGGGGTGTCTACGTCCCAAAAAGGGGTTATTTGGGGGTGTTTGTTCTGCCCTGGCATTTTAGCACTTCAAGAAATATGATAGGCAATCAGAAAGTAAAAGCTGCATAAATTCCAGTATATATACACTTTCACACCAATCAATATACACTTACTGGGATTTTTTTTTTTTTTTTTTTACCAAAGACATGTAGCAGAATACATTTTGCCCTAAATTTATGACAAAATTTGATTTTATTGGATATTTTCTATAACAGTGGAAATGATATATTTTAACATTTTTGGTCCTCTTTCATGTGTAATAATAAAAAAATAAACCTAGTGGTAACCAAATACCACCAAAAGAAAAGAAAGTTCTATTTGTGTGAAAAAATGATAAAAATTTCATGTTGCATACAGTATTGAATGATAAGAGCAAAGTGTTTTTGAAAGGATATTCCTCCAGGATTTCTAGTGTTAATATGTGGTTACACCCCTTTAGCGCCTGATAGATAACATTGAGTCCTGTTGTGACTTACTTGTTTGATTTGGAGCACTATTGGATCCCATTGGATTACTTGGGGCACCATTTATGTTATTTGGTCCTTTTAGGACCTCGTATTGACACTTGTCACACGTGATTATTTATGATTTTTCTGGCACTATTTAATATTGTGTGTTTGTTATTTGTATCACTAATTTTGCACTGTTTCACTTATTCATTTATGTGTGAAGAATTTTTATGGTAGTAGTGCTGCATCATTTGTGTTTCATTTATATTTTTTGTCTATGGGTATATGACTGTATGTAGCAGCTTTACCTTTGTTGGTAGGTATTAGTTTTTAGGTAGGAGCGCAGGAGTTTGTCACATAAATGCACATACAAGCTTTTGGGATTTGAGCACAGGTATGTCTTGTTTCAGCCAATCAAGGAAGTGTCGTGCTTCCCAGCATCTGTATCCCCTTAAAGGGCTAGGAGGTGCCGGCACCAAGGGGTTAAAGTGTAAATTCTGTGTATTATCCTGTACTTCTTGGGACTTTTGCACCCATATTTCTGAATTCTATGAATGTTATGTTTTTTGTTTTTGTTTGTTTGGTTCTGTACTATTCAGTAGATGTTAAAATATCACTGATCGTGAATTGTCCAAGGAAAGCCAGCACATTCATCTTCACTAATGCATCTATTTTCCCAACACTTAGGTAACCCATTAGGGGGTGGGCCCCTGCTGAATAATTACGCTTTGACATTACTTATTATTTTCTTCCTACAATCAAGGAGCCCTGTGGTTATTCCCAGTCTATGCCAACTGAGAGAGATTGCTGGTGAGTGTTTTATAGCTTATATTGCCAAGAATGCACAGTTTATAGACACGTTGTAGCAGTTGACATGTTTGTGTTTTAGCTGAAGAGGACACGCATGTCATTGATAGCTGGGACTGCACTTTTCCCTCTGATCCAACGAAAATACAACCTAGTAAAAATGAGCAGAGTCTTGGTGAGCTATTCCTTTTTCATTAATAGTTTTACTTTGCTGTGTGTTTTAGGTTGGAACTTTTACTTTTAAAATGATCTTGATGAGCAAGAAACGGAAACCTAACAATTGAGAGATGTCCACCCTGCAACTTTTGTTAATTTTAATCTAGCAAAGGCCATCTATTTATACTTTGCACTTATTTTACTTATTGTTTAACTGATCAATGACAAATCAAAGAAAACAAACCGGTCATACAACACAGGATTGTTACTTTGTGTGCATGATCCTCATTTGTTATAAAAATAGCAGTCACCTAAGATATGATATGAAAAGAAATAAAGCTCACATTTCATTATTATTATAGAAATACTGCAACAGGGCGGCAGGGCTGTGCAAAATCTTATGTATATATATACGTGATTTTGCATTTCCGGAAAGGGGGTGCGTGCCCTACCCACGCCGCCATTGGAAGCCTCAGCTGTTGATCACCAGGTCCCAGCCAGTGATTCCCCGCCGGCATCTGGCGATCTCCGAGTATCACTGTCGGGGGAGAGACCTGTATGTAAACAATACAGATCTCTCCCCTGTCATCCCCTTCACAGAGCAGAGCAATACAAAGCAATGTGCTGACACGGTAAAACACAGCACACAGTTAACCCTTTGATCGCCCTAGATGATAACCCCTTCCTGCCCAGTATCATTCGTACAGTATCAGTGCTTTTTATTAGCACTGATCACTGTATTGGTGTCACTGGGGATGTCAGTGACAGTCAGTTCCCTTCCAGTGTCAGAATGCCCGCCACAGCCCCGCTATAAGTTGCTGATTGCCACCATTACTAGTATAAAAAAAAAATTATAATCTATACCGCCATTTGTAAACGCTATACCTTTCACTTAAACCAATTAGTTTACATATATTTGGATTTTTTTTTAGCAAAGACATGTAGCAGAATACATTTTGGCCTAAATTTATGACGAAATTAGATTTTTGAAATTTTTTTTTACTGGACATGTTTAATAGCAAAAAGTCAAAAATATTATTTTTTTCTCAAAATTGTTGGGTTTTTTTTGTTCATAGTGCATAAAATAAAAACCGCCAAAGCGATTAATTAACACTGAAAGAAAGCTCCAATTGTGTGTAAAAAAAGGACATAAATTTCAATTTGGTGCGCGTTGCATGACTGCACAATTGTCAGTTAAAGTAACGCAGCGCTGTATTGCAAAAAAATGGCCTGGTCAGGGAGGGGGTAAATTCTCTGGAGGGCAAGTAGTTAAAGCGGTTGTAAAGGCTCAAGGTTTTTTACCTTCATGCATTCTATAGAAGGTAAAAGACCTTCTGTGTGCAGCAGTGCCCCCAGACCCCTCAATACTTACCTGAGCCCCATCAAGATCCAATGATGTACACGACAGCCTCAGCTGTCCCGGGTCTCTGTCTCCTTATTGGCTGAGACAGTAAGCAGGAGCCATTGGCTCCCGCTGCTGTCAATCACAGCCAGTTGGCCTGTGAGGAGAGGGGAGGGGCCAAGCTGCGGCTCCATGTGTGAATGAACACACGGAGCAGCAGGTGCCCCCATAGCAAGCTTCTTGCTATGGGGGCACCCGACAGAAAGGAAGAGCCAGGAGAGCTTGCGGGGGACCCAAGAAGAGGAGGCTTCAGGTTGCTCTGTGCAAAACCACTGCACACAGCAGGTAAGTATAGTTGTTATAAAAATATTTAAAAAATGAAGCGTTAGAATCATTTTAAACAAAAACAGTTTGAAAAACTGTGGGCCCAGCAATGAATTAAAGTACAATTATCAGCTGGCACAACATTCTATGTATAAAAAGGCCTCAACTAATTGCATTGTGAATAAAAAAAGCAAAAGTAGCTATTTATAGGCAGGATGATGTTGCAATGTAGATGCCAATTTTCTTGGATCTTTTAGGCCGCATGGACCACTGCTGCTACATTACGTCACTATAACTGGTGATGGAGAGCTGCAACCTGCAGGAAAGCTTTGCAATAAATGTATCTTGGGAACAAATTTGATTCTGGTATATATTTTTCCAGTGTAAATTAGGACTAAATGAAGTGTAACTTGAAGAGGAATTTCACCCTTTCCCCACCCCTCACACCCCCACCCCCTATTTTTTTTTTTTCACTTCTCTGATCCTGGGTTGTGTACAATTAAGTTCCACCCACAGAGCCCATCCAGCGTTGTCATGAGTTGTTCTCAGTAACCGCTGCTGGGTCCCGTGCCGCCATGTTTTTTCTGTGACGCCATCTAAAGGCTGTGCTGGCTCTTCCGGGTTCTGGCATAGCCTTCCGATGACGCACTGCTAGGCCCGCCCCCTTCTTTGTTAGTAAATGGAGTGTTGAGCAGGGCTACCTAAAAGGATTTGAACATCACATATCCCAGGAAGCACCATGGCAGTGATGTAATGTGCCTAGGCAAATGATGGAGGATGGGGGGGGGGGGGGGGCAGGCCATAAATTGTTAAAAAAAAAAAAGGTACATCCTTGTTTACATAACAAAAAAAAAACAAAGCAAACAAGCACAATATATGTTCAGCATATGGGGGTGGGATGAAAATGAGCAAAGCACATCTTGAGGGTGAAGATCCACTTTAAGCCATGGAAGCCGATGATTGATGCTACAAATACCATGGTTGTAACATAAAATATATATGTTAGTACTTACCCAGCCTGTATAGCATGCCTTTTATGTCACAGTGACTAGCTGCTGAAATACAGTTACTTTCTGCATCTAATTAGATTCTCCAATGTAAATACAGTGTGTATCTTAGATTAGATTCTCTTAGATTATAAGCTCCAAGGAGCAGGGCCCTCCTATCCCTCTTGTATTGAACTGTATTGTTGCTGTATTGTCTCCCGTTATATTGTAAAGTGCTGAGCAAACTGTTGGCGCTATATAAATCCTGTATATTATTAATAACAATATCTAAAGAAACACTCTTAAAGACGAACTATACTCACCTCTGCTCCCCGCCTGGCCGCTGATATCATTGGGTGGGCGGCTCCCAGGTCCCGATTGCCGGCCGCTGTCATTGGGCAGGCAGAGATGACATCACCCATGCAGGCCATAGACGAGTCGTTTATGAAAAATCGGCCGATAATCACGCAGTTAGTGGGGCCAGCCCATCGGCCGTTTTTCGCGGATCTCCTCATTTATTTTTATTGGTCATGCTGGAAAATCCGCAAAAAACAGCCGTTGTTCGTGGACATGGGTGGCAGCATCAGCAACAGGGCCGACTGATTTTTTTGTCTATGGCCTGCCTCACATATGTGGGAGTTCAGTCAGATTCGGCTTTGCTGAATTTGTACAGTGAGCTGCGCATGCGTGGCTCACTGTACAGGCAGGTAAGTAACTTTAATGCAGAAGAGGTAAAGTATGTTTGTTCTCATTAAAATTCCTGTCTCTACCATTTTTATTTATTTATTTTACCTAAAGTTAATATACAGTTGTCTAAATATGCGCAATATACAAAGCTAAGATTATTATCTGGTAAGGAAGATGTTATATAGGGGTGGTTCATTTTTTTACCAGTACATAATGGAACTGTAATCATAACTTGAATTGTTTTTTTATTACTACCTCCAATTAATGTTATTCTTTGTTGTTACTCAGGTTGTCTTCTGTCTGAGTTTTTTTTCTCCTTTTTCTCTTCATTGGATTTACGTTCAAGCATCTTCTGTCCTCGAGATGGTGTAATCATCACCCTTCCTTTTACCTCTGCACCTCCATCCTGGGCTGATGGTTTTCGCCTAGGTGTATTCAATGTCCAGGATCCATTTGAATTGAGTCATAATGTGTGTAGCAATGTCAGTTCAAAAACAGCTCGACGCTTTAGCTCACAGTGTATCAGTGCTGCAAAGACCTGCCGTTCACCACTTTATTGCCTACGGTCATTATCCCGCCCTTGGGGCATAATTTCATTGTTACTACCTAATACTTCTGAGGGCAGTAAGAAAGAAGGTATAGATATCTCCATTCCATTAACAGGAACTTCATTGAAAGCTGTGACTTTGGCTGTCAAGAGGGTCTTAGTAGAGGTGTTGTTATGTAGTTGTGAGGAAGACTCAAGCTTGAAAAATGAGGCAGAAAATACAGGAAAAGGAAAAGATGAAATGAAAAGAAGTGGAGATGAAGGTGAACAGGCAGTGTCACACATGGAGGGACTCGTCATTGGCGATGAAAGGTCAGAGTTTAAAGCTGAAGAGTTAAATAAAGATGGGATGAAAACAGAACCACATGGAAGGAAACGAGAAAACACAGAGGAAATCCAGAATGATACCAAAAGAAGGAAAGTGGAATGTACAAATGAAGACTCGATTTTAGAGCAAGAAAGTATAGTTCCTGGGCAGAAAGAACATAAAAAAGGTAAAAAGACTAAAGGGCTAAAAGAACTTGCAAAGGAAAACGTGTCCCTCATGAGGATTAATGTATGGCATCAAGTGTGGGAAGGTAGACGCAGACAGCGGAGGGGCAAGTTTGGAGAGATGACCCAGAAAATAGAATTAGAGACTGCAGTGTCCCGTGCGTTGTCTTCTGGGACAATAGATAGTAAGCCATGCAAACCATTAATGAAAATAACTGTGAAGACCAAACAGACAAATGAGGGAAATGCACAGCTGCACCTTACTCCGGAGATGGATGATTATCAATGCAGCACTAATTTCTTACACTTTTTGAAGAGTTTTTTACCCCAGATGGTACAAGAAATTCTAAGCGGTGACGACTGAGTCATTTGGTTGTTCTTGATAAGATTTATGTCCATGGAGGAGAGAATTTTTTTCAATTCACTTTAGTCCTTGACTTTGACTAGTGGACTTTCCCAGCTTGTAGAATGATGTAAATAAATTTTTATAATTTACAAAGACTTAATGTTGTTCTTTATGTATTGTTTGCTCTTTTTCAACTCTTAGATTTAAAAATTTCATTTTATATAAAATAATTATACACACACACTGTACTGTGCAAAAGTTTTAGGCAGATGTGAAAATGCTGGAAATTAGGAATGTTTTAAGACAGACGCATTAATAGGTACAGGCAATAGGTCGCTATATAAGCAGATAGTCCGTGTCCAACCAAAATAAATAATGGGAGTCCTTCCAAAGTTCTCCGTGTACCCTGGTAAGGTCTTCTTTAAATCCACCAGTTCTTTGTGATCCTTAAATCTCCAAAATTCCTCAAAGCAATAAGTCCTCTTCTACCCTTAGTACCAGATTGACAGGTATTGCAAGCCTTTACTCAGAACTGATTGCTGTCCTGGTACTAGTGCCAAACTCCAAAATCAGCGATGTAAGTACTCAAAATTAAAAGTAAAGGATCATCTTGCAGAAGCTCTTTAGGATTGAACAAGACTTTAATAAAAGCGCTTACATAATATGCAGAGTTTGCAGCAGTGAAGATAGCCTTTGCAGAGTAAATGCAGCAGTAAAACTGGCCTTATAGCTCACTATTCTCAATGAAAAGTCCAGACCTCATCCAAAACGGTCTCGGCGATACTTCCGGTAATGTGTGATGTGACATCTTGACGCGTTTCGTCATCACAACTTTATCAAAATAAATTAATGTGCATTTAATTATTTATTTTTTAGAAGGATGAATTTATCCTTTAAGCCTAGATCATTTAATAATACATGACGACGGAAGTTTGGAAGCAGAGTAATATTTGTACCTTACACCTGCTATATTGCTTTTATCTGTTTTTGGTGCCTGTGATAATACATACCATTCATGTGCAAACTCCCTTTCTCCATTAACCACTTGCCCTCCAGAGGATTTACTCCCCTTCCTGACCAGGCCTTTTTGTGCGATACAGCGCTGCATTACATTAACTGCCAATTGCATGGTCATGCAATGCTGCACCCAAATGAAATTTGTTCTTTTTTCCCCCAGAAATTGAGCGTTCTTTCTGTGGTATTTGATCACTTCTGCGTGTTTTACTTTTTGCGCTATAAACAAAAAAAACCAACAGTTTTGGGGAAAAAAAAACAATATTTTTGACTTTTTGCTTTAAAACCTATCCAGCAAAAAAAAATTTAACTCAAATTTTGTCATAAATTTAGGCCAAAATGTATTCTACATGTCTTTGTGAAAAAAAAAAAAATCCCAATACAGGTTTATGAATTTAATGCGTTCTCCGGGACATTTCGTATTGCGAAAAATTTGTAAACCAAAATGTGGTTTCCCATAGGAATGCATTGAAAACCAATTAATCCGTTCTGGAGGTCAGATAAAAGTGCTGGTTTTTAAATGTAATTACTGGCTTTTTTTTTTCTTCACTATAGCTCAGAGAATCAGCTTTCACTTTCCCCCCAGCTAAAAGATAGAGAGAGAGTTTCCTTTTAGTTCATTTCCCCTAGTTAAAAGAAACAATGTTTCCTTTTAGTTTGTTTCCCGAGATAAAATAAACAAAGTATCCTTTAGCTTCTGGAAAAGTGACAGCTAATTCTGTGAGCTATAGTGAAAAAAAAAAAAAAAAAAAGCCGGCAATTACATTTAAAAATCGGCACCCACATACACTTCGTATTGTGAGAAAAATTCGTAAACAGGGATTATTTTCAATGGATTTTCATTGGTAAACCTAAAATTACGTTAACCAAAGTGTTCGTAAACTGAGGTACACCTGTAGTTGTAAATTAATTGGTTTATGTGAAAGTTATAGTGTCTATACAGTTATAGTGATGTATATCATTTTTTTTATTTTTTAATACTAGTAATGGCGGCGATCAGCGTCTTATAGGGGGTCTGCGGCGGGCATTGTGACACTGGGGGGAACTGACTAACTGCCACTGACATCTGGGGCAATCAAAGGGTTAACTGTGTGCTGTGTGTGTTTCACATTATGTGCTGTTTTACTATGTAATAACTATGTAAGCATGCTGCTTTGTATTGCTCTGTTATCCAGAGCAATACAAAACAGCATGCTGGTGCTGACGGGAGAAATCTGTATTGTTTACGAACAGACCTCTACCTGTCAGTGTTCCTCAGCGATCGCCGGGTGCCGGCAGGGAATCTCCGGCTGGGACCCAGTGATCGACAGTTGTAGCCGCCAGTGGCGGTGCAGGTAGGGCGGCGTGTGCCCCCTACCAGGAAATTTAAAATCACGTTTAGTCTTCATGCACACTTGACTTTTTTACAGCTGCTGTTTTTGGCTTTTGACGGGTTTTTTTTTACAGCTAGTAAACTCCCCAGCATGTTATCCTACCGGTATGTGTCCATGCACACAGACTGTAATAAATGTTTGTTGGCTGGAAAAAAAAAAAACCCAGGACTAGTGGGTTTCTAGAGGAGTTTTTTAGCTGTTAAATGCTCTAACGCTGAAAAACGTGGCAAAATAGCATTTTTGGACCTTTTGTGACCAAAAAAAATTTGGGGGGTAAAAAAAAAAACCTAAAAAAACGCAAACGTGGGAAACGCCACAAAACGTCCCTAAACACTAATGCAAAAAAGCTGACAAACTCACGTTTTTAACATGACAGCTAATGTTACCAGCGTTATCAAAATGTCCCGTGTGCATGAGGGCTTATATATATGATTTTGTGCAGCCCTGCCGCCCTGTAGCAGTAGCTCTGCTATAGGGCGGTCGGGAAGTGGTTAACTGACATCCATCTGTCCTGGATTTATGGCTGAACAAACACCACCCAGAGGGACAACCACTCACGCTACTTACCTAGAAAGATGACTACCATCACCGTTTCATCAAACCTGCCTTGTCACTACCAATAAAGAGCATCTGATGATAATTGTCTCTTGAAGTTGGCCCTTGAAGCTGGTAAGAAGCAAGTTAGAATAATAATTATAGCATTAAAATGAGGATCATAATGCTAAGACTACACAGGTGATTTTAATCTCATGGCTACTGAGAGATTTAACCACTTCTTGGCATTCCTGTTTTACAGCACACTGAGATCAATGGTTTGTTACACACATGCTTCAGCAGTGTGAATAGTAAGCTTTTACAAGCATTTGTAGAGCTTTCAGCAAGCTTTTAAATACCATACAGCTCCAATCTGTAACCAATCTTACAGCAGTCTTAAACCCAAAATAAAAAATGTAATAAATTGCAGCTTACCAACCTTTAGGTGTGGTGGCTGCACAAATTTTCTTTTTTTAAGCTTTTTTTTTTTTTACCCCCTCTGTGTTCACCTGGTGATCTGGCCAGTAACACATCTCCTGTATTAGACTGCCTCCACTCTGGAAGAAGGAGCACAGGGGGGCAACGCTGGTCAGCAGCAATGTAAATCTGGGGGGCGAGGCATGTTAGATACACTAGTGACTAGTGATTTAGATACACTAACAAGTTGAACTCCAGCTCACACTTTATAAGCAGTTACAGCGAACAGATTTTTCCTTTTTGGGATAAAGGTTTTACATTACAAAAAGCTGATTGTTGTAAGCACCCCTGGCAGTAGTAAATGGTTTGTCTCAGCCCTCTAACTGCTACATATGCAGAGCAGCGTGTTCTGTTGAAAAAAAACTTACTGTCCAGATCACCAGGTGAAAATAAAGGTAAGAAAGGCTGCAAGAGAATGCAGCCACCACATCTGAAGTGCAAGATAATGTTTACAGGACTGGATTAAGAGCATCATGGGCCTGCTGCTGAGGATTTTGCTGCGCCTTTTTGTGGAAATAAAATGAAATGCAAACTATTTTTTGTTAAAACAAATTAACCACTTCAAGTCCGGACACTTTCACCTCCTTCCTGCCCAGGCCAATTTTCAGCTTTCGGTGCTGTCACACTTTGAATGGCAATTGCGCGGTCATGCAACACTGTACCCATATGAATTTTTTAGCATTTTTTTGAGACAGATGTAACTTTATTTTGGTGGTATTTATTCACCACTGGGATTTTTATTTTTTTTGCTATATAAATGAAAGTCCAAACATTTAAAAAAAAAAATGTTTTTCTTATAAAATTTTGCAAATAAATAATCTTCATAAATATTGGCCAAAATGTATTCAGCTATCTTTTTAGTAAAAAAAAAAACCAAATTAGTGTATAACCAAAAATTATAATTTTTTTTAAATTATTTTTTTAACATACTGTCACCCTAGCAGTACAGTGTCACCATATTGACACTGTACTACTTGTGGGGGGTGATGAAGATTTTTTTTTTTTTTTTTACACGGATTGCGTTTACACCCATAAAGGCTGTAAAAACAATCATTTCTCCTCTCTGAATGCATTCTTGCAGCCATTGAGAAATACTGTGAGAGCTGTGATTGGTCAGAGCTTGTCACATGGTACAAGACTGTTGTGAATAGCCTAGTACCATGTGACCTCTGTGATCAGTCCCAGATTTCACTAGTAGTAAGCAATGATGTCAGCAAGTGACATCTTCTTTACTCCTATTCATGTGATCACTGATTGGCCAATCAGTGATCACATGACCGGGACTTCACAGAGATGTCCCCTACAGCGATCGGTGCCGTGCACTCCCAGGGAGCATGCACAGGCAGTGAATGCGGGGGCCGTTTATAAACTGCAACCCGTTTCGGCACTGCTCCCCTCCGGCCGTTCATGTGCATGGGCTGGATGGGAAGTGGTTAAATGAGGGGGGGGGGGGTGTCAGCATGTCTTCTATGGTGGGCTTCTGTTAAGGGGGGGGGGGTCAGTATGTCTTCTATTAGGAGCTTCTGCTGACCAATGATCCTCCTTCACCCATCACCTCACTACAAAGCACATCCCCAACCACGCAGCACACCCAATGGTGGGAGAAGGGGGAGCCCAACA